ACTACACGACGTGGAGGAGGAGTAGGACCGGAACGAACGACTTCATATCGGAGAAGGAGAGGAAGCGCGTGCGATTGGCGGTGGGGAACGGGGAGAGTCGAGCGAGGAGGGAGACGACGAAGCGCGTCGCTCAGAACAACGAACGGTCGCGTTTACGCACACAGCAACGTATAAAGGCTCACTGGTCAGAGACACGTCCTTCCAATACCTTCCATCGTTACACTACTCTCACACCATTTACCGCGCGTCCACCACCGTCCCGCCCATCCCGCTTTCGTAGTCGTACATCTTCTCCAAAAGAAGGAAAGAGAGAGATAGGGAGTCACAGTGTGTCGGCGTGCGTCTGTATGCGAGCGAACGAGCGAGGAGCGGTCGAGGGCGCGGAGTAGCGAGAGCGAGAGAGGAAGAAGAAGAATAGTGCACACACACAGGGGCAAGATGTCGAGTCGCGAGTCGAGTCGCGAACGACTGGCAGACGGCAGTGCGGCTGTAGCTCTGGCACTTGGCGTTGCGAGTTTCGGAGTTGATTAGTACGACAGGAGAAGCTCGTCGTAACGCGTATCCTGACCTGCCTTGCGCTCGTTGATCGCAGAGGAACCGAGACACAACGGGCCTCATCGTCGCCCATTCCTCGCGATCGGTAGCCTGTCGCTCCCTCCCTCCCTTCGCCGCGCGTGGGTGTGTGTGTGTGTGTGTGCGTGTGCCTGTGTAACCTAGAGTCGAGCTTTCGGCCGTCAGTGAAGATGTCGCGGCTCGAGAAGGACCGCACCAAGCAGATACAGGCTAAGTGCCAGAGCCTCCTGACGCAGATGCTGCGCGATGAAGATAACAAATACTGCGTCGACTGCGACGCCAAAGGTACGCCCCGTCGTTTGCTTCGATTCGCTCTACTTATGACTATTCGCCACCTCCCCCCCCCCCTCTGTCTTATACCAACGCTCCCTTTGTTTATTTCGTTTTTATCTCCCATTCGCTCGCTACGAGGATGGCTCACACGATTGTACGTTGGCCGCGTGGATGGTCGATTCTCTCTTTCTCTCTCTCTCTCTCTCTCTCTCTCTCTCTCTCTCTCTCCCTCCCTCTCTTTCTCTCTCTCTCGTTTACCGACTCGTACACTACCTGTACGTGCACTTGCGCGCGCGCGCTGACCTACGTGTAAATGAGCGATAGAGAGAGAGAGAGAGAAAGAAAGAAAGTCTGTTTCTCTGTCCTCCGTCCCAAGAATTCGTATCAGACATTCGATTTTTCATTACGCCTCACCGACGGCCAAATCGAGCCTCAAGCAAATTCTCCACATCTAGTTACACGCGTTGGAAAACTATACGCAGTCGCATGCATGTTTTCATGTGTGCGTACGTGCCGAAATAATATTATGTGTATGGAAATGCATATGCGTGCGCATGCATAAGCTTTCTCTTTTAATCAACAAATTGACTGCCGGCCGAACTTCGTTACCCATCATACCTCATCGTTCTTTCGACAAAATATCTCTCGCCGATGCTCGAGAGAAATTATATTTAAAAGATCCAAAAATATGATATTTCTTTGACCCGATACCTTCCGCTATTCACACTTTCGCAATCTAACTTGTGATTATCGATTCGTCTCGGATAGTCTTGCATTTTGTCATGCATATTCTTTAAGGATATTTTAATGTATTAATATTTTCATAATTTTCTAATAAAAAGATAAATAAAATATAAAAACAATCTAGCTGACGAGATGAGAGATTTTTTTAAATTATTTTATCGATGTAATCATATTTGTAATGCAATTGAGATTCGTGTAAACGACTAATAATCGAATGAAAATTACTATCAAATTTATCCTCTAGGAAACGTGCGCTTACGTACGTACACCACAAATTCGTTCATTTAAATGTGTCAATGTGATTTTAAAGGACTGATAGAACTTAAAGTATTTAGGCGACTCTAATTGATTCGATTACTTTAATTGACGTAAATTTATGATAATAAATTAATACTTAACTTACCATTGATAAAGACTATTAGAATGTCAAAGTTAGCATATTTCATGCCATCCATTGTAAAACATTTGATACTCTAATTACCACAGAAAGTCGATCACGATACACAACACGATCGTGCAATATAAAAAGACCGCGAATCCCTGATTGTATAAACACTTGGACCGAAGAATTCTCAACTCGACTATACCAAGCTTCCCCAAGTGTAATATTTATTATTATTCGCGAACGCTAAAATCGTGAAAACGAGTGTTACATGAGTTTGTTGCAGCCTCTGTGCGGGCCCGGAGTAAACGAGAATTGAGAATTGAGTCGGTGGAATGAAGAACAGCTCGGAGAAGAACCGTCGGAAAGGGATAACAATAATAACAATAACAATAATAATAATAATAATAATAATAATAACAATAACAACAACAACAACGACGACGACGACGACGACGACGACGACGACGACGACGACGACAACAACAACAGCAATAATAATAATAATAAAGTCTTACCAACGTCGGCAATGACTAATGATCAGCCTCGTCTTGGTTGCCGTGTCGTTATCCTGTATATCGATTGGTCCAAGTGAGTCGAACCGCCGGCGATGCGCGCGATCCACTTTTGTGAACAACAGGACCACCGGGGATGAACAACGCTGGTGTATATAAACGAGCAATTGACTTCGACGTAGGCAAAATAACGTAGCCAACGTACACGAATAAACTTTTGTAACCGATTGAACGTGTGTCGAAGTGTGCACCGAATATCGAAAGCCTCGAATCGAGATCATCGCCTAGAGAGTGGCAAAACTCGGCGAGTCTCCGATCACTTTTTTTTTTATCACTTTTCCTACTTTTTTATTGACCCGCGAAAACTATACGATCGGATAAGTTACGAAGAAATATTTGCTCAACTACATATTAGCAGTATTATTAACAAATGAGAAGGACTGATCGATCGTATGCATCCTGCGAACTTATTACTTAAGATAAAATTGAATTTCTGCTTGAAGATAGAGCGAAAAAAATTAAACATAACTCTCGTTAATTAAAATATTGATAAAAATAGTGATTGATAAATTTATTAGTCGATTTTTTTAATACCGCGTAATAAACAATTTTATGTTGGTTAATGTTATAGTTAGTGCCATATCGAAAAAATGACACTTTCATCGAAAAACTAAACCGATGACCTAATTGTTTCCTAAAGTCTTCGCGAGATATGAATATTTTTTACTTCATAATGCTCATATTTATTTATAACAATTTTAGTAATTATAGTGGTCGTTATAAAGTATTTTATAATTAGATGATAATGTTAAGTAATTTGAACCTTCGGCTGACAAATATAACAGTTAATTTGTTAAGGAAAGAATGTAAAGTTTGTATGTTTTAGGTAGAGGTATGTAGATAGAAAGTTTTGGTAAAAAAAATTTTAATTTGTCAAGCTTTTTGTAACGTAAATTCAAAATTTAAACATATAAAATTATTCTATAATTTTTCAATTATATTTCATATTTAAAGCAGTAAGGCATATTTATTATAACTTTGAATTAGTCTAGAATGTCGATCAAGTTTATCAATTACAAAAAATATCTTATATTACTACTAAACTATAAAGGAAAAATTAAGAATAAATAATTTTTTTTTTTTTTTTTTCATTTAAAATATTATCCAATTAACCATGGAAGAATCAGCTTGAATTCTGTATAAACATTTATAAAAAATATATATATAAATGAATCAAAGTATCACACATACTGTGCTTGGTGGTTATACCTGAGATTATTTGTATTGTTAGTCCATGTTGCCAACCCAGGTTTTTTTTCAATCGATTGCAATCAAATGCTTTGCATTAGCTTACCAACGTTACGTCTGTCATTGCATTAAAATAATATTAGAGTTACAATTTTGTATCTTTGTATTATTAAGTAATTTTACATTCTACAATCATACTAATTATTACAAGCTGTCAAAACTTTGTTCTGCAATGCAAATATTATTTTCAAAAAGAAATGAAATTTTCTTGTATTTATTACAATTTTTCTACAATTTTTATTCTACAGATTATTACGAATAGAATCAAAGAAGTATGAAACGTAGCAATGCATTCATATTGATATTGTTTGACATTGATAAAAGTTTTTTATTAGCATTGAATTTTAAATTAACAGTAGCTATATTTTCAGATTGCATAAAAACTTTAAATGTTTTATTTAATTCATTAATAAAGACCAACGAATGAAATAAAAAATTCCCTCCTTATATTTAATAATTAAGATCCACAAAATAATTGAATTCCCATAATATCAATAAATTCAGAAAATAGCGTAATGAATATTAATTCGTTTCATATTGTTCTTTTCTTTTTAAGCATCGACTGTTTTACTACATATAAAAGTATTTAGACATATTGTTAGAAAATAATAAAGATCTCGAATTAAATAAAATACTATTACAACTTGGTTGATTTTGAAAAATTTATTTCAATCGTTCATTTCTCTTTATAATTTATGTATTATAATTAAAATGATATAAAAATGGAATATTGAACTTGAATCCTGTATATCCTTCATCGCTTTTTTTGTTTTTATTATTTAGTACATTTATTGATAAAAAGGTAACGATGTTCTTATTAGGTAAAAGCGAGCAACAAATTAACTGTCATCAAGTCTATAAAGACTGAATTTCCTACAAAAGAGATTAGTTCTTGTCTATATTTCTCCGTTGACTTTGGTTACTTGTGGGTTTTCTAATCTTGGATAATTTAAAGTTTTCGTTGTCAAATGAATTTTGTCATCTGAAAATAATATAATATCTTTAATGGCAGAAAATACTTCATTGTATACCGTAAAATATTAAACAATCTTTTATCAATGCCTGAATAATCAATAAAATATTAAAAAAAAATTTTTTTTAATTGCAAGTATAAAAATAAAATATTTAAATTCATAAACACATATATGTGTGTGTGTGTGTGTGTGTGTGTGTGTGTGCGCGCGCGCGCGCGTGTGTGTGTGACAGAATGCGTATGCAATATTATAAAAAACAAAACACCAGTGATACAATCATTGTAAAAATATTTTTTTTCGAGTGGTAATTATTAAAAAACATTAATTAATTTTATTAATAGTTGCGTTAGATTTATATAACATTTATAATTTCGTTTATTAATAGTTAAAAATAGAATTTCTAATTATTTGATATAATTATAAACTAACTACGTTATCTTAAGTTTTGAATAATAGTGTTTTGATAAGGTACAATTGTATTCGCTATTCTAACTGCTTGCAAAGAACGTTTGCACCTATTTGCCTAAGAATAAAGTATTTTGTAAATTATATTTGTATTTTACAATTATAAAAGATATATTTAAATTTTATTTCAATTTAAATATTTGAATTTATTTATAAAAAAGAAAAAAAATAGTATTAAATTTATTTAATACAGTTAAATAAATTTAATTTAACTGTATTTTATTTAGTTTGAAATTTTTAATAACATTACGTAAGTAATAGTAATTGTAATATGTTTTAGTTTTATGAATAACATTTTTTATTATCAGTGTTTTATTATAAAATTTTCTATTATCAAATTTTTATTATCAAATTTGTGAAAATAGTTGAAATTGCTATTTAATATATAATTTAATTCAAATGATTCAGATAGTCGACAGTAAATACTCAAACCAGAGTTTCTCAATATTTGTGTAATAAGTTGATTGTGGATTTGAATTTGTATTTTAAGGTAATAGAGATTTTATGACGGAACGTGTATAATTAATAAAACGTTATTTAAAAAACAATGGCGACTACATATACGTATATATATATATATATATATATATATATATATATATATATATATATATATATATTTTGTGTAAAATTTTAAAAA